TGTATATCGTTCTTCTATGTTGTCTTGCATGGTGTTTGAATGTCTATAAGCATTTTTGACGCCTACAGTAACTTCTTACTATTTCACGTAAATAGTACTATGTTTATGAACAGTAACCGTATCCGTGAATAGTACCGTACTTGTGAATAGTACCGTATTTGTGAACAGTACCGTACTCGTGAATAGTACCCGTCACCTCCAAAGGGTAAGTGATAACCTAACTTATTTTCTGATGTGGAGGATCCACCTTTGGTGGCAGCCACAGAGCATACGATAAGTAGATATATACAAGTACCCTAAGTTGGCTCTGATACCACTTGTTGGGACAAACCCGGGGCCCAATAGAGCAGGGTCGCAGCAATAGTAGAACAAAAGTAGAGATAAAATATTGGACACACAGATTTACGTGGTTCGATACTTGATTGCCTACGTCCACGGGCAAGGATAGAAGAATTCACTATGAGGAGAAAACTCTGGAGTTACAAACTCTCTCTCTACAAGGAGAAACTCTCTATTTTTTTCTCTCTCACTCTTCTTATATAAGAAGTTGTTTCTGGGATGAGATTTCCTTAAGGATTTGGAGCCCTATTTATAGTTTTTAGAAAAACACTATGCATAATAAAATATTAATAATTTACTGTAGTAGTGGGGCCCACTGTTTTGTTTTCTTCTCAAATTTTCAAAGATGGCTGCTACTTTTTCTTGATTATCAACATGTGGGCGGCTTGGGCTCTAACAATATTAACATTCCATCGTATAGACCATCTGCCGTAAACATTCCACGTCATGGTACAAATCTCAATCTTGCTTTTCCCCTTCAGAGATCTCTTCAATCATATATTCATACGAATTGCAAAAATTTTCAAATGGAGTCAAGTGAAGTAAATGCAAATACAATCACGGTGTAAACTGAACCAAGTAAATGCAACAAAGTCAGAAGTTGTAGCAATTACAACTTCAAGAAAATGAAACAAAACAAAACATATTAAAAAGAGAATTCAGCGGTAAACATAATAAAGGATACTCAGCCTTATCATTTGCTTGTGTTCAGAATGCTGAAGGGGATATAAAGTTACCGATTGTTGTGGAGTAAAAAATCAACTTTACACAAGATTGATACATCACAATATTTCAAGAAAATGAATTCGTAGTTTTATAATAAAGAGGTTTTCAACAGCTGACATCGAGCTGTTCTGACAAACGCATCACAGTTTTGATAATTCAACAACATCGGATACATTGCTCGTATAATAATCCGGATAGATATTATTCGATGGATCTTGCAAAGCTGGCAAGGAAGTACAGCCTGCAATTGCACGTACACAAATGAAAAAAAGAGAGAATAAATTATGAGATTTCATTTATTAGAAACAAAATGATGCTTGAACTGCGAAGAGAAATGTGAATACCTGAAAGAACAAGAAGAGTCTTGCAGCCTGAATTTTTTCCGAAAAGTATATCTGTGTCCAATCTATCACCAACCATGCACATTTTTGAAGTATCAATCTGGAATCTACAATCCATACAAGATAAATGCCTCATTGTTACTAGAATGCTACTAGAAAGGTGATTCCTTTAGTTTGATACTTACACGATAAAATTAACCAATAAAAAATGAAAAATCTTTAGGTAACAACCTATAGTCCACGGGTAATTCTTAAATTTTCACACGTCAAATTTCTTCAATAAGCAACTAAACATGGAGGATTTGATTAATCTAAACATCAAAGTTTAGAAAATCTAGAAAAAGAGATGGAGGAAACAGGGTTCTTGTCACCAAAAATATGAAATAAGCAAAGAGCAGTAGTAGAGTAGAAATTTTATTTTGTAACATACTACGATGTGATAGACTAATTAATGAGGACAAGAAATGACAATATTTGATAAGTTGATATATTTTTGAATTTTGAATTTTGAAATTTAAAATTTGAATTTTGAAATTTAAAATTTGAATTTTGAAATTTAAAATTTAAAATTTGAATTTTGAAATTTAGTTTAATTTTAGTTGAGTGATTTGAGGGATTGCTGTTTATTTCTATTTTTATTGCACGTTGTGTGCACGTTGTTTTTTTTATATATATAAATAAGGTTGTATGAGACTATTGAAAATCAATGAATTATTAAAAATTGAAATGAAATTTGAGTTGGCTTAATTTGGGTGTGAAACCTAGGCCTCGGGTGTGAAACCCTGGTCAATACATGTTCCTCTTCTTCTAGCCGTCAAACCTCTATCTTCTTCCGTTCATCTGTTCATCTTACAGCCTCGCTGCCCCCACCCCTTCTCTTCCACAAGCTGCCGATCTCTCCCTGCTCTCCTTACCTTCGAGCAGCCGTTGTTCCCGCCTCCGTAAGCCGTCAGAACCACCTCAACAGTCGTTGATTTCCCTCCGTCCTCCTCCACTCTTCGAGCCGCCGTTTATTTCGTCTTGACGCCGCTGCCGGCCTCGTCCCGACGCCCGCCACCTGCATCGACCCGACGACTACCCGTGGGACATCGCACCGCCCTCATCCCGTCGTCGTGTCGTCATCAGTTCAACATTGTCGCACTCGTCGTCATCGGAGCTCCGCCTCATCATCGTCGTTCAGTTCACCGTTGTCGTCGCACCACCTCCAGAGGTCTCTCACGTCGAGTCTGTTCAGACCGACGAATGTTTCGTTCTCACGTCGAGTCTGTTCAGACCGACGAATGTTTCGTTTTCTTTCGTCCCTTATTTTTCTGTTGATTTTATTTTGTTAGTTAATTGCATGAATTTCTTTCGTCCCTTATTTTTCTGTTGATTTTATTTTGTTAGTTAATTGCATGAATAATACATCTCTAAATGCTTATCTTATATTCACTGCGTACATTACAATTGTGAGTTGAGAGTATCTGAACATGTGACTGCTTAAACTTGATATTGATCTTAGAACTTGCGAAAATGATAATTAATATTGCGATTAAATTATTCGAGATTGAGATTATTTATGACTATCGTTGCAAACATTGTTAAAATCCGTTTGTCACATTAACTGTTTTAGATTAAATTTCCTGCCTAAGATCATGAATTTTGGCGAAACGGTGCGTTGTTCGATTTAGATCGCTGATTCCGATGGACCCC